GGTGTGTGGTTGTTTTTGGTGGGCGTTTTCTTTTTTTTTTTGGGGGGGGGGGGGGGTGGTTTGTTTTTGGGGGGGGGGGGGGGGGGGGGGGGGGGGGGGGGGGGGGGGGGGGGGGGGGGGGGTGTTGCGTTAGGGTCCGTGCTAGGATCAGCTTAGCATCTAGGTTGACTTCCTTCCAGCATATTGGACTTAATGAATATTATACGACTTGATTCACTTATCCGAATCTCCCTCGGTTGATGCGTTGGGGCTCGTTTCGCTTATGTGAAGCCCTTTCGGTCGATGCTTGGAAAAGGACTGCGTTAGACTCCGTGCTAAGATCAGCTTAGCAACTGAGTTAATATCCTCTTTCCAGAAATCCATTCTGTCAATGTCAATCGTATATCTAATGTTTTGAAATGATTCTTATATTATTGATTATATTTCATTTAGCATGGAGATTTGCGTGATTGCGTGAAACTCACTACAAAATGAATTGTCCTTGATTTTTGGCAAAAAATAGTATAAGAGTGACAGCATTTTCATGAGAACGCAAATTCTTCAGGGAGTACACAAAACTACTGCAAATTATATATTAGTGAGAAAAAAATTAAATATGAGAACAGCAGAAACATATTTAATGTTCTCGATGAAACATCCGAAAATCGGAGGCTGAATTCAAACATCAGTTTCATTCAATAAGTATCAATGAAATAAAAGAATCCGGATGAGTCTCATGTCATATCGTCGGTGAATCGATTCTACAATGACAAGTTGTTTGAGCTGGTTTAATCCATACAGTTTATGGTCGTGATATATTTGTCTAATCTAATCTAATCTAATCTAATCTAATCTAATCTAATCTAATATAATATACGAGTTAATCGTTATTAGCCCTTCTCATTGGGGTGAAATGCGTGAAGTGTATGACATTGAAAAAAGTTGTCACGTAGAATACTAAACCAGAGTCGAACAAGACTTCTCGTACTGCTGTTACAAACGGTCAATAATCGAAATAATCAACAGCAGCAAATGGTCTCCTCATAGTCCTATAAGGTGCCTCGCACTTGATTTAACTTTGGTCCCGATTTATTTTATTCATTTCAGATTTTTTTGTAAATAAAGAGTTGGCTTTCTCTTTTTTTTCTTTAATATTAATGAACAATATAATATTATTATTTCCTCCTCGATTATGTTAATATCATCTTCGATTCGTTAGTAAAATTTTTGGAAAGAACAAACGATTCCATCAATTAGTCTGTTCTAACGGGAAATAATACACGGATATAGTGAGTATTGTTTACTACCATTAGAACTGTTTGCATTCAATATGGCACACATTATAACGATAATTTTGTTACGACGTAGCAAATTCCGTCATTTTATAATATAGAAATATGATTGTTTTTTTAGCCAAGCACAGAAAACATGTATTTAACTCTATTAAGCTATATGGCAACAAAAGGAAGTGCTAGTGGAATAGACTCTCCTCAACATGGATAGAAAATGGAATCATCATGTGATTGTTAATATGTTGTATTTGGATGTGGCTAGCGTTAGATTTTCAGGTATCGGTTTGGTCGCAAATCAATTATTAATGCTTAGCAATTTTATGTAGATAATCAGTCGATCATGCACAGGAAATTAATTAAAAAATTGATTTATTGTCAAACGATCCACAATGAAACGGGCTTAGTACCAGAAAAATTTCAGGAGCATCTAGATGAATTACATCTTTTTTTTTTACCGTTGTCGTCTCGAAAACTATTCGGGTACGCATACAACCATTTTCGAACAGGTAATTGGTTGTGCCCATATTTCCTTGTACGAACTTTTTATAAACGAATTTTGGCCTTTAGATTTTATCAACATTTTTTACGTGTTCTTCGTTTTATATATATATAAATATATATATCTTTTGTATTGGGTATAAAATATGAGCCCAGATAATAAAGGAATAAAAGTGACTAACTGGGCTAGTATAGCTAATGCACCTTTCCCAGCCGAAGGGGCTGGTAATCAAACTTTTAGCAACCTACAATTGATAAGTGTAGTTGCTGGTATCCCCGCGTTTCTACTTATCTATTTCCATTTTGGCATATGGACCTATCCGTTCCTCGTGATATTGGTTGGTTTACCTTGTTTTGCTGGGTTTTTCGTAATTAATTCGAAGTTTGCCACACCATGGAACAATAAAGTCCAGCTTCCGAACCGAAAAATTGAAGAATACATTACCATCAAAGATCCCACGTTAGCCGGCTATCAAGGCCGAAATAAAATCCCGATGGAAATTTTCTTTGAGAATTATTTTGATGGTAAAATAGACCTTAATGGAGACGCGTTGGAAATTATGGAAGCACGACATGATTGGGCGTCATTCGAATTTGGACTCGGCCAACTGAAATTCTTTTTAACGCAATGGATTCCCGAGACTATCTGGCATTCAAAGAAACAAGATGAAGATCAAGTGAGAGATCATTATGATCGTGGTGATGATTTCTATGAGGCGTTTTTAGGACCACGTATGGTTTATACATCGGGAATTGTATCTGACCCAGCGAGATGTGAAACACTTGAAGAGATACAAGATAATAAACTTCGTTTGGTCTGTGAAAAGATTCATTTGAAGAAAGGAGAACGGTTATTGGATATTGGATGTGGATGGGGAACTTTGGTTGCTCATGCGGCAAAGAATTTTGATGTTGATGCTACCGGTGTTACTCTTGGTATCAAGCAGACCGCATATGCAAATAATCGTATAAAAGAATATGGTGTTAAAAATCCGGAACAAGCGAGAGTTTTATGTTTAGATTATCGTGATATTCCGGCTCGACCAAAATTCAACAAAATCACGTGCCTTGAAATGGCAGAACATGTTGGAGTAAGATTATTTCAATCCTTCTTATTGCAAGTTAAGGATTTAATGGAAGATGATGGTCTTTTCTTTTTACAAATTGCTGGATTACGTCGGTAAATTTTTTTGCTCTTTATTCGCTTAGATCTAGTCTCGATCTATTTTATTAACAACAATGATATACATAGTACATGGCAATATGAAGATTTCATATGGGGTTTATTCATGGCGAAATATATCTTTCCCGGCGCTGATGCATCGTGTCCATTGTATTGGGTGATCAATCAACTGGAAACAGCCGGGTTCGAGGTTCAAGATGTCGATACTATTGGAGTTCATTATTCTGCGACTATTTGGCGCTGGTATCACAACTGGATGAAGAATAGAGACACGATAACTGAAAAATATGGAAAGAGGTGATTACTGATCTTCATTAGGCATCTTAATATCAACATTAGCATTATTATTAATGTTCTACCATTGTTTTGATGTTCCATATAGATGGTTTCGGTATGTCTCATTATTCCACATAAAAATAACGACATTCAAAATTATTTAAATATTAATTATTAATTTACATATTAAAATAATAGAATCTGGGAAATTTTCCTCGCATGGTCAACAATCATCTCACGACAAGGAAGCGCCACGTGTTACCAAATTGTGGCCCATAAAAACCTGAACGCGTTTGATCGGGTCGCTGTGCTAAACAAGAGACTTACCAAATAATTGTGAAATAAAGAATTTGATAGTAGTATACGCATAATTGCATAATTGGAATGTTTACTTAATTAGGATTTTTTTTAATTTGGCGTTACTTTAATTTTCAAAATATATACGCATTAAGCAGTGTTGAAAATTTCTCAGTCAGATACTGTGCTTGCGGGAACAATAATATGATTCAAAGGTTCTCAATAATCAATAGTCATCATTATTTTTTAGTGTTCTCATGAGTATACTGTTTCCCATATAATCAATTTTAGCCAATGAAAATAAAGATTGGTTTCATGATAATTCAGTAAAAAAAATTATCAAAGAAACAAATATAATATATCACAATTAGATATCTTTTTTTATAAATTCTGCCAAGATACCCTTGGGCAACTGGAACAAATGGACATAAAACTGCGCATTTGATTATAAATCCAGTGGTCGACTTTTTGTTTATATGTTATGGACGTTATTCAGCATACAAATGGCAAATCTAACACGATTAATCTTATCGTTATAATTTCTGTAGCCAGGATCTTTTTTTGTTCGTTCGAAGAGATTCATTAAGAGAAAGGAGAAACGAATTCCTCGTACGCTTACTTTTCTAGCCTAGTAAATAGGTGTTATTAGATAAAAGTGATCTAATAAGATTGTTTTAAAATCTTTTTTCCAACTCATTTTTTACGCTATACAAAGAATTCTTAATTTTTATTAAAGACAAGTGCTGAATTATCAGAGAATAAAGTGAAAGGTGAAAAAATGTACTAAAGATATACATGTACTAGAAGCGCAAATCCGCAAAGTCTCAATTTTGATGACATCGCAGACTTCTATCATATCTCCTTTTTCTTGGACCATTCATCATTTGCATTTGTGTAAGTTAATCGATCGCACATGAAATTTCTTCGCAGTCTTTCGTATCGACATTTGTACACTTGGGGGTAGCATGTTGTGGAATATTTTGTAATTTCTGTTTTTTCAATTCCATTCTCATGTTTTTAACCGCATTGAACAAACCAGCGTTACATTGAAGTAATTTTTGGTTTTCTTGGTCTTTTCCTATCAATTGGATTTTTAATTGTTTGATTTGTGTTTTAAGTTCTTTTACTTCACTACGAAGCAACTCGATTTCATTATTTGAGGTAATGGCAGTAGTAGTAGTAGTTTTCTTTCGCATGTTCCTTGAATTTTGGCTCATACTTTATTGGAGTATACGAGTGTGAATTTTTACTATAGGAATCTTTAGTGCATCATTTTAAAATAAAAGATGTTTGTAAGTGTTATAATTTATTGGATGATTTATTGAAATTGTAATGATGTATTCGTTTCTTGATTTGCTTATATCATGATATTAATCAGAATTTGTCGTAATAATTTTCTTTTTCTCGAAATTCATAGTGTTTTGTTTAATAAATTTTATCTCATTAATGTGACAATTGATTCACACAATCCCAATTATCAATACAACTTTTTATTGTTAGTTTCCCATTAACGAGATGAATAAAAACACTAGTAGATTGGTTGATGAATCATTTGCTCTTTTCCAAAAATTTTACTAATGAACTGACTATAAATTTTAGTCACTATTGTTTAGAAGCTGTTAAGAAATGGGATTTTAATACATAAGCAAATCGTATTATGAGTATAGAGATCGGGTAATTTAAAGACAAGGATTGAAACAAGACTGAATTTTTTACAATAAAGAATGCTAAATTATTCGATAGTCCTAAATTCTATTAAACTATTTCATAAAAGAAGTTACCTTTAAATTAGCACCATCTGTATTCTATTTAGTCTGAATCATTATTTAAAAATAATAAGAAAAATATGTCAAATGGAAAGCGAATATATAATTAAAAACAAAACTATCAAGTAATATCATCTTGATCTTTTTGTCATTTAAGGAAACTAAAAGTTATAATTAACAAAGATGTATCTTAAAAACTATATTAAACCATGCTTTTTATACTTAGACAAAAGTTTATAAATATCTGAGAAAAGTATTTAATAAGCTTAAAGAAAGTAAATTAAAACTTTAACTTAATAAATATTATTTTGATAAAACTAAACTTATCTTTCTTGGATATATCATTAGTAAAGATAGTTTAAAGCCTAATCCAGCTAAAATTTTAGCAATAAAATAATTTTCTAAATTAATTAACTTGATTATATTAAGAAAATTTCTTGATTTGACATCTTATTATAAATATTTTACCAAAAACTTTCTGTAATTTCTTGAATGCTTAGAAGTAATTATTTTATATTATTATTCTTTTTATATTTATCTTTACTTTCTGATTTAAGATTTCTTTTCTTTAAATTGATCTATTCTATCAGTTAAATTAAAATTTTTATAAAAATAATTATATCTTTAAATTAATTAATAAGAAAAGATCAATTTTTTGACTATCATATTTCATCACATAAAGTATTCAGAGTACATTATATCTGGAACACAAAAAAGTTGATTCGTACCTGGGGGATATGTTATAAAAAGGTGAGTATATTAAATGGTAGGTCTCTTATACAGAGAGTATATTAAACAATGAGTCTCTTATATAGTGGGTATATTAAATGAGGGGTCTTTTATATAGAGGATATATTAAACAGATGTATTTTCTGTATGATAAATTGCAGAATATGTATTGATTAGAACACAAAAATTTTGAATACGTAAATTTTTAACAAAATGGTATGAAGAGTACTCAATTCCAAATATGCAATCATTACTACTAAAAAAAATGAACATGATATATATACGAAAAATTGGCAATTCTTACCTATCTTGATCAATATCCAAATGCTAGTATCCATAATACTGCTCAAAAATTTGATATTCAACCCAAGCAAATTTGAGACTGGTATAATAATCATGATGTACTAATGAAAGCTAGATCACATATCAAACGTCTTAATAATGGAGCAAAATCAAGATATCTAGCAATTGAAACTGAACTTATTTAATAGGTAAAAATATTAAGAAAATAATAAAAAGTAGTAACTCGTCATATAATATATATGAAAGCTAAAGCATTAGCAATAAAGCAACATTTTATTAATCTTTATCTGAATATATATGAATGTAAATGGAGTGAACAATGGATTAATAGATTTATGAAATAACATAATCTCAGTAACTGATGACATACTACTATCACCCAAAAATTACCTGAAAATTTGGAAGTGTTAAAATAAAACTTTTTGAGTTTTGTTTTGTATCATCATATTCAATACAATTATCTAATAGTATTGATCAGTAATATGGATAAAATACCATTAGCATTTAATCTTCTAAATGCTACAACAATTGAAGAAACAGAAGCAAAAACAATTAGTATCCATACTACAGAACATAAAAAATCAAATTTTACAGTTGTACTTACCTGTATGGCAGATAGTACAAAATTACCATCCATGATTATTTTTAAACTCGTCAATATTCTACGTCAAATATTTCCGAATGGAGTCTTTATTTGTACTAATCAATAAGGTTATATGAATAAAGAAGAAATAATTTGGTGAATTCAAAATATTTGGACTTGTCATTCTCTGTCACCTGATTCACAATTTTTACTTGTATTAGATTCATTTTGAGGTCACTTGACTGATTCTGTCAAATGAAGATTTGGAGAGAGAAAGACCAATATGGCAGTAATTCCTGGTGAATTAACTTTAAAGTTGTAACTATTGGATATTTCTATTAATAAATCATTCAAATCAAAGGTACTATAAGTTATTTTTTATAATTTTTTTATTAAATGCTTAATTTTAATCACTTTTTTGTAGATGCGTCACCAATATAATGATTGAATGGCAGAAGAAATTAAGAAAATGACTCTTACTGGATGAATTTAATGTCCTGCTTATAATACTGTGACCGAGTAGGTTAAAATAGTATGAGATAGAGTTGATCCTGGACTTATTTATAAATCTTTTAAGTATTGTGGAATTTCAAATGCACGAGATGACTCAGAAGATAATTTGATTTTTGATTATGATCAAGTAAGTCAAAGAATCAGTAGCAATCATATATTTTATAATGGTCAAGAAGAAGAAAATGATATTGAAGTGGGTTCTAGTGATGTGAGTAATGGGAGTGGAGAAAACCATCAAGAGGATGAGTTTTTAGATGATGAGAATGAAGATGAAGAAAGTTTTCAAGAAAGAGGTATTAATAAATCTTTTAATTTGGATGGAGTTTGCCAAGAAGAGAATGAGGAGGATGATAGTGATAATTATTATAAGCAGACATGTATTAATTACCAAAATATATAGAACTAAAATTTAATAAAGCAATTTGTAGATTCTTTTTTACCTTTCTTTTAATATCCTGTATTTTCCATCTATTTTTCCTTTCCATTAAACAAGAGCTATAGGCCAATAAAGATCCCACAATAATTCTGTCTTTATTTCTCACATGTTAGACAGTTTTTTTTTCACTTACATCTGTGTATTCTTATAAGATTTGGTAGCGAGAATAAAATGAATTATCATTATCTTTTTTTTATGTAGTACATTATGTTAAGGGAGTACATTATACAGAGAGTCTGTGTTCAAATTTTATTGTGTACCCAGGTCTGTTACATATTACCAATACTATAATTGTGATATGTACCTGGGTATATAACATGGTGGATCTGATACTATCCCAGGTACTTTATGTGATAAAATATGATAGATTAATATCAAAAAGTATTTAAGTAGTTGAAAAATAAATTTATTTTAATTTTAAAATTAATTCATTTTATATATTAATACTTTTAATTTTAATTTCTATATTAATATAGAAAAATAATAATGATATAAAATTGTAATCTTCTAGTTACATAGTATAATATATCAAGAAAATTTATACAGAAGATTCAAGATATAGTAAAGTAGTTAAAATAGTATTCACACAGAAAACTAATTCAAGAGTAGACAAGATTATTATATTAAAACTTAAATTTTATTATATTGATTATTATTAAAATTACAGAATAGATATAATATCTTTAAATAATAAATTATAATTACATAAAATTAATAATAATAAATAAGAAATTAATAATATTATAATCAATTACCTATTCATGTGATATAATAAATATGATACAACTGTGATGTAGTCATAGTATATAGTGTAGTAATTATCAATTACTACTAAATTAGATATACAAGAAATTTATATTAATTAATTTAATTTATTATTAATTCTATTTTTAATTCATATTATTACTTATATTTAGTTTTATTCTTTTATTAATTTAATTATGTGTGTCATATCTAATTTATAGTTTTATTAAATTAATAATTTTCTAATTAATTATTATTAGTTTTTCTTTTTTTTCTTACTAACTTTGAATATCTTAATATTTTGCTAATTTTAATTCTTAATTATCATGTATTTAATATTCTTTATGATTATTATTTTGAAATTCTACTTGTTCTTGAATAAATTAGATAAAATATTATATTAAAAATAATTTATAATTAGCATAACAAGAAAATATTATATATAAAAAGTCAAGAAGTGACTAAGAAAAATAATTAAGTTTGATAAAAGTAATTAATTATTGAATTAAAAGTAATTAATTAGTATTTTTCTTTAATAAATATATATATTTTATCATATATTTTATCTTTATTTTTTTTTACTTTATTAAGAGAGTATTTTATTAAAAGTAAAACTTATATATATATAATATCTTATTGAGAAGATAATTAATTATATAATCTTTTGAAATTATAAAAATAAATAATTATCATGAACATAATTACTCTTACTAAAATATTTATATACACATAAACTTAAAATAATAATAATATATAATACTTATATAATAGTATTTTCAGAAAATATTTATTAATATATAAATATAAAAATAAATAATTATAAATAAAAATATAAAATAGATAATATATTAACTATATTAGTAGAATAAGAAAGAAAAGAAATTCAGTTAAGAAACTTTCTATAACTAAAATAACTTAATTATACTATATAATTTTCTTAATAAAAATGAGATAATTATAATATAATAATCACATGTGATATAGTATATAATGTAATAATGATCTGTAAAATAAAATATAATTTTATTATATTATCTTTTCTTTTAAGAATTAATATTCTTATTAATATTTTGATTCAAAAAATTTAATGAGTTTCATTATATTATGAAATTTTTCAAAGATTTTCAGATAAAATTATAAAGA